CATGAAGGTCTAGTCAGAGACATATTAGAGGCAGAAACAGGAGTTAGGAGGGGTAGAGGTAGACCTAGATTAGATTACTCTTCGCAAATAGTTAAGGATGTGGGTTGTTCTAGTTTTAGGGAAATGCGAAGTTTAGCTCAGGATAGGAAAGAGTGGAGGTACGTGTCCAACCAGTCTTAGGACTGACGACCCTATAATGATGATGATGATGAAAGCATCCAAATACCAATTATTGATCTAATAGTCCAAACTTTTCAACTCAAAAGTATAATTTGCCTGGATTATTGGCTAACATCTATATAAGCTAAAAACTGTAACGTACTGAGAACTAGACAAACAGTCAAATCGTTTACCCCATGAACAGTGAATATTGTAATACTTTTGGTCGATATTAATCTGTATTACCAATGAAGTGGTCAGAAATTAAAAAAAAAAACTTAATTAACAATAACAACTAACAATAATAAAAAGATATTAAACGTTAATTGCAATACCAATTAATAAAGCAAATAAAAATAATAATACAAAAAGATAAGTATGGATCTTGAAATATACGTAGGAATTAATCTGTAAAAACGAAAAGTGAACCTAACAGAAAAGATTAACAAACCTGAACTTTTATGATTGTCCGTATAATAAATTAATTGTACTTTAATAGAGATTATATGTGAATGATAATACAAATTAATAAAACAAACTCAAATTATAATACAAATTGAAGATAGATGTGGATTTTGAAGTGTGTGTACGAGATAATCTGTAGAAAACAAAGAATGAATGCAATAGAAAAGAAGCTCGAGCTTCTGTAATTATTTGTAAACACTTGATGCTTTCTTTGATTAATTGATATTACTGTTATCTTCAACATCATCTGCGCATTTGTATGGTCTTAAAATTAGTTTAAATAGTTCCATCTTGAAGAAGATTTTGCATTACACCTTGAGCTGTGGTTAAGTTTAAGGTTGCCTGCAGGGTTTTTGAAATCCAAATTAGTGTACTTTGACTTGGGACCATTCTAGAATTTTAAACGTTCTGCATTACCTTTTATGTTGGTCAGTAGCACTCACGTACTATAAAATGTTATCCTTAAAACATTTATTATACGATTCAATGGTATCGCACAAGCAGTCTGTTAGCAACTGTTAACTTATTTAACAGAAGACTGCGTTTGTATTTTTTTAGTTCTAAAATTTAATAATTTATTTCAGAAAAGACAAGACTGACGTGGGTGATATAATAAGTATTTAGGTGCCTATGCTACCAATTACTGGACAAAGTGAATTGTAAAGATCTTCAAAATGGATAGGCTAATTTTGGTAAGTCTTTGTTTATGTATTTTTCTTAGGATTTTCAAAATTTTCGTTTGAAAAAACTATCTACTTATTTATTTAATCGGATTTCCGTTAAAACGTGATTTGTCTAGGAAAAACCAATTTTAACAATCCTCTTTTGTCAACTCCAGTTTTGCTAGCTAAAACCATATTGTCTGATAATCCTAGTTAAAATTCACGTATTATAGTTAAGCCAGTTTTTAATGAAGAATTAGACAACGGCAATCAATTAATTATTAATTATAAAATTATATTCCGACAACCTGATCTCCTTTCTTGAAGTTAGTATACTTCCGAAGAATGAAAGAAAACAAATGAGTTTAACGAAANCGACATACCGGCTTTATCATCTGCATTGGACTTTATGTCAGTTATGACTTATGATTACCATGGAAGTTGGGAGAATGTTACCGGTTATGTCAGCCCATTGTACGCAAAAAATAACGACAGGTATCCTCAGTATAACACAGTAAGTATAAGACAAATAAATAAAAAAGTAAAAGACATTTGCTTTTACTATCCATAAATTGTAGAACTACACAATGAATTATTTGGTATCAAAAGGAGCTCCACGTGAAAAGCTATTAGTTTCAATACCGTTTTACGGTCATACGTATACTTTAGTGGACGGCGAAACAACTTCTGAAAATGAAGCAGCAGATTCTGGTCCTGGAGAGCCTGGTGAGTACACGAATCAACCCGGAATGCTTGCATACTATGAAGTTTGCGATAAAATTAAGAATAAACGGTGGACACTCAGAAGAGTAGAAGGATTAGGACCCTGTGCATTTTCCAAAACACAGTGGGTATCGTTTGAAGACCCTCAATCAGTCAAAGAAAAGGTACTCTGTGATTTAAATGTTTTATCTACTGAGAGTACTATGAAAAATTATTTTAGGCTCGTTATATTCGTTCAAATGGCTTCGGAGGTGCAGTTGCATGGACGGTGGATGTAGACGACTTCAATAATAAATGTTGTCGTGAAAGCTTTCCACTATTAAAAGCTCTACACAGAGGATTGGGCTTAATGGCTGATGAGGAAGTTACTTCTAACTGCAATAGACCAGCCGCTCCCTTAACACCAGAACCACCAAAATCTACAACTGGTTTCGATACAAGTAAGATAGTTTTGAACTTATTTCCATACGTACATTTTTTTAATTTTAAATTAATACAGGTGCAGAAAGCTCCACCTGGGATTCTCATCATGATCACGACAGCCATACTTCTCAAAAACCAAGTACAACTAAAAATCCTCTGACCACGACGAAGCAATCAACAAATGTTTGGTGGGAATTATCCACAGACGAATCAACATCCACGGAATGGTGGAAGCCATCAACGTCTAAAAAAACCACCACAACATCAAAAACTACAACGCCATGGCGAGTTCCGTCCAGTTCTCGCCCCACTAAAACTACTACTAAAAAACCAAGTAAGTAGATATTAAACAGACAATGCGTTCTTAAATATACTAAAGCACTTTTGTTAATCAGACCAAACAAAACCAACTCCCGCTGCAGGCGACCACAAGCCAGAAAAGTGTTATANATTGTAACAAGATCAATTCCCTCCTCCGTATGGATGTGCAAATCATCGCAAGATGTTTAACACGAACCACGTTCCATTGTATGCAGATACAAATTCACTTTCATTAACATAACAAGAAAATTGTGTAAATTGAAAGTAAAAGTTTAATAACCATTAGTAGGTGTAGTTACCTGACTCATTGACATAACAAGAAGTACCTACCTACCAAGTTACCTAAATCTCATTTATCTCTTCGAATGTGAGTTATACTACACATGCATGCATATTATGTTTTTTTTTTATTATTTAACCTTTGAAGAATTCAAAAGTACTCATATCAGAATTCTAAACTCCGTTCCACTAAGAGAAGTGGGCGACAAGATTCTTAATGTTTTTACACATGCAAATGAAGTTCAGTGTTTAGTGCTTATTCTAAAAGTATCTAGGTACCTACATATGTAATTTCAGTTGTTCGCTAATATTCTTTAATAAATAATTTACCAGGTATTTTTTTTAAAGTTTTCTCCAAAATTACATTTATTCTTACAAAAATGACGTCGTTTGAACACGGTGTTTACCCCTTATTTCGGAATTTTAACTACAAACTGCTGATACAAAATAAACGATAAAAAGACAGTTGCAGTACCTACTTAAAATTGTTACGTTAAAAATATATCCTACAAAATATCACAAACGGGGCTTCGTTTTTGCGTAATTTAAACAATGACAATTTTATATTTCATATACTTTCTTCCTTAATTCCTGTTGTCATAACTAGTTATTTATAATTGTCAGGTGTAGTAGGTACTTCCATTTTGTTACAAAAACCAGTAGTTTATAGTAATTATGTTCAAGTATGACTATATCTTATATTATCATTATTATTGTACTTACAATTAGATTAAAAAAAAATGCCTATTGAAAAGATAAGATGGTATTGCATTTAAATCTGATGACTACCGTCGAACTTCTGTGACTTGACTTGAACTTTTATAACTTGCAATCTTTTCTTAATCGAAAATGTTTTTGTTTTCTCTTAATTGTTCTATATTTATTCCAAACTGTTCGACTCGAATTTCTGCTTTTCTCTAATTCGAATTTTTCTCTAACTCGAGATTCGAGTGTCGGTTTTACATTACAAATTATTCGAATTACTATCAGCCGCAGTGATAAATAATCAATGGACCGAGCTATTATATTATTACTATTAAATTTTCACTGTACTTAATATGGTATTATAAGGTTGCTGTAGCAAAAGACAACATGAACGACATGCTTATAATGTCTGACATCGTGGTCTAGATTGTAGGGGTAACAACAATAATAACAACAAAAACTCTTCCTAACTAAAATTTTCTCTAACTCGAGGCTAGAGTTAGGAAAATTTGACTGTAATTACATTCCTCGTAAATTTTTAATTTGAGTTCTGACCTTATCTCAATGTTGATTAGAAAACTACTTAAATATATTGTCATATTGATTAATCTTTTAACAAAATTCAAACCAAAGTAATGCATTTAGTTCGTGAAATTAGAATAAATACGTAAAAAGCTATAAAATTTAGCAGGTCTACATTTACTCAAGGAAATTAAGTAAAAGTCTACTATTTTCAACAAAATGCAGTAAACCCCTTAAAACCGCTATTTTTTATTGATATACCTACAGTTTTTTATGAACTCATTTGAATCTGTTTAAGCAATTAGTGGATGATCTTTTTATTGTACGAAGTGAATACTACCACTTATTGGTTTTAATCGTCCATATAAATTTCATGGTTTTGAAGGTGTGAAAAACGGTCTACGAGTTACTCAAGTTTAAGGTCATTTATATTGATGTGTAATGAACCTTTACTGTCTAGAACTTATGCGACCGAAACAATTTTATTATACATAGATCAGACGAAGGTCTTACTCAATAGATTTATTTATAGTCGCAATCTTACGTCTAACGAATAGTAAATAACTCATTTCAGTAAATTCCAATGCGTTTAATAATAATAATTCGATGAACCTACGAATGTTTGTATTTATTTTTAAATTAATGTTTCTTTACTAGTCCAAATGAAGCAATTAAGTAAAAGTTTCATAGGATTTATCTAACTTAATTAAGTAGATTAAAATTGACCGAGAAGCTACTGGACTTGAAATTAATATTCCCGCTACTGATTTCATTTAATTGGATCCCACGTTAAAAATCAGAAAACATGTCAACTGCATCCAAATAAGTTGAAAATTAACCGTAGATAAATCGCTTAAGTGAACTTAACTTGGACATAATTTTATTTTTATTTACATTCCACATTGATTGTGTTTTCACCTGTTTTTAGTCTGTAGATATTCATAGAAATATACAGTTTAATGATGGCAATCTTTATTGAAAGATTCAGATTTTCTTATCTACACACTTTTTTCTCAGATTTGCGGTATATTCGTTACTACTCTCCTAATCCCAACAAACGAAAAAGTTGTAAGGTCTAATCGAACATTTGTAAGAGATGCGATCGAAAGTCCACCACAAAATGCCGATACAAAAAGTCCTTACATCGCTTCATCAGGGCTTGGAAGCAAATTTTTGCCACTTCGAAATTCTGTCGAAAAAATTCCCGATGTGTAAGAAAAAAAATCCCCAAAAAATGACAATTTCTAAATTTCGTACTTTTTTTTTTTATATAACTTTTAGAAAAGAATTTACTAGACGACTTCCTTTGCGAGATGCAGTGGAAAAAAGAGTTGATAATCTTGTCCAAGAGAAACCTGTTAAACAAGAGCACGTAAAAGATACGTCTTCGGACATTTCAAATGAATTTTCAATTCAAAAGAAATATGGATTGCTTCAAAGTTTTCTAACCCCAGCAATGGTACTCCCTCAGCCAGTAATTCCTATTGCTGTATTACCTGAGTACACACACTACTCTCCCTACAGCTATTTCACTAAATTAGTAACTGATACAAAGCAGGCATCAGAATATAGAGTGGATAACAAAGATCAACAGTTATTGATTCCT